TATGTGTATTTTTGGTGCCCAATGCAAGTATCTTTCTTCCTTCTGTGCACTAAAAATGAAACTCATATTCGGCTTCTATTTCTTGGATGATGTAACATTAAAACTCCGCATTCGGTTTTTAATATAAAAATTAATTTGAGTAATTTAGATAAATTAAGAAAGTTAAACAATTTAATTAATTACTCCTTCTGGTCCTTTTTATGATATTTTTTTAACTCAGTTACATGGTTTAAAAGAATAATTAAAATTACTTAAAAGAAATAAATATATGAAAATTGAACCTTTTTAAAAAATATGTCATTGCTTAATGAGGAAGTAAACAAGATTGAAAAATGCTAGTAATAACTTTTGAAATAAAAGATACTCTAAAAGTGAATGAAGTATAATAAAAAGATTAGAAGAGAGAATAAAAAATAATAATTAAGTGCAAAATGATAGAGACACATTTAATGTTCAAACACCCTTAAGTAAAATTTTATAAAAAAGACCAAACTAATTCAAATTTTGGGATTTTATAAAAAAAGGACTAAATAGAGTATAATACTCTGATATAATATTAGATCATATATATAAATCAATTTGAAAAAAATAATAAATACAATAGTTGAAACGAATTGAGATATCATGCATAAAGTTAATTTCTTTGGACCAAAATATATAAAAACAAATTCAACTCACGGTTATTTCCAATATTAGGAATCCAAGGCAGTGCCGGCGCCATGTAAATAAAACTATAAGGGTTTCTTCTTTTTTTTTTTACCAGCAAAATTATAAGGGATTCAAACTTTACGGATGGGAGAAAGATGTTATGAGACCTAACATTAACTATTTTTGGTATTTTTTAAAGTAATTGAAATAGGGATAAAAAAGTAGAGGAAAAAAGAAATATACTAATGACGATAGAGAGCATATGCTCACAAGTTATTATTTGATTAATTTAAAATTTTCTATTGGTCAATATGTAAATGACATGACATTCCGGGGATAATTAAAATATTTTCACACTTAACATTTTTTTATTGGTATAAAATTTCCCTATCGATCGCGCGGGCCACTCATGTTCACGAATTTCTCCCCGACATATCTTATGACTTGATTAGTCAATAAATTTGATGATCTGTATAATTAATTGAAATTAAAAAGTGGGCCACGTGTTAAAAGATGAAGCATTAGTGACCGATTGATTTTCAATTTTTAGAACCGACACATTCTCAAAGATCTCGCGAGATTCTGTACACTTTTTTTTCTTTGTTGTTTAGTGAAGAATCCTTGATATTATAACGAGTCTATGCATGTTAAAATATGATAATGCTAAGGCAGAGGATATGGAAACTTTGACCTCAATTTAAAATTAACAATTTAATTTTAAAAATTTAAACTATTTATTTTCGTGAAGATTGTTAAATTTTCGAGAGTCAGTTATTCAGATTTCGTAAAATTAATGGTCAATGACTATAAAAGTCGAGCTAATTAACTTCTTGGTTGCCACTTACTCATATGTATTGATTCTAACAAGATGAGTTATATTCGTTCAAACATAGATGTAATTGTGATGTATTAGTTAAATATTTTAATAAAGGTATAAAAACTAAATATAGAATGCTGAGACTTGAGGAGGTGGTAAAGAATGACTTAACCAACAAAATAAAATCATGATTGACTATACCAACAAATAAAATATTAACACATGATTTAATAGTAAAATCTTAGAAATATATATATAAATCACAACCCAACCACTTTAAAATTAAAAATAAAACTTTTCAGTAAATGGTAATTTAGTTGGTAAAATATACCTTATATCTCAAAAAAACAAAAGATTACATTCAAATTCTCCTATGGATTTGATAAATAATTTATAAATATCTTTTTTATTGTTTTGGGTGTATTCTAATTTAGTCATTGTATAAAAGTGTTTTTATTGGGGAAAAAAGAGAGAAAAATCTAATAGGCGCAACATAATATATAAGTTGGAAAGGTAGGACTTTGACAAATAGGTGATATTTTTGTTTTGATAAAGCTTGGAATCACTTTTAGAGAAAACGATGAGGTCCGCCAACTTATAATCCCACCCCGAGACAATAATGTAGGGCCAATGATTTAAGATTCTTTTCAAATGGGGTGCTCAATTATGCCTTCACTTGACGAGGCTCATAATTGAGGTCCAAATCAATCGTGCACGTTTTATATTACTCTTTTAATTAAAAGTGTCAACTAATCAAAAGTAGAATAAACCCATGAGAATGGTGGCTTGTTAGTGGCATCAAAAGCCGTTTTTTATTTTTTGATAAAAGTGATTATTTCCCATCCTATTTAAAAGAGATAAAGTTAAAAAATTACTAATTTTTTAAATAAATTAATAATATCTAAGATTCTTTTATTTTGATAAAATATATTAAAAATAACTTATAAATAGGGGAGAGAAGTATGATTTATCTTACTTTGCTGGGTGTCTATGATTTCAGATTAATGTCTCTAGTCTCTCTCTCTATTTTCTTTTTTTTTTTTTTTTTTTTTTGCGCACGTCCTCTCCAATTTGCAATTACTCTATCTAATATTATATCCCTCCATTAATGTGCTTACGAGTTACGTGCCTTGTTTGTCTTTTTCATGTTTAATTTAATTTAAGCATTTCTTCTTCGGGGAAAAGACTTTAATAATTTTAAAAATATTTTGCCTTTATTAGTACTCCGTATTTTCTTTTTATAGTAGTCTGTGTATTTTTTGCCAGCTTAAATTTGTAGTCTTTTTTTTCCTGAACATGTATTCGTAGTATATACTATTACTTTCGATTTTAGATATAAGAATTAGTCTGTATTGTAAATTATACTAAAAATTAGTTTTTACATTCAAGACCAACAAATTAAACATAAGTTTATTTATTTATTTTTTGGTGAATTACATAAATTTATTTTAACTTCATATTACATCGGGAAGGTTGAAAAAAATTTCAGAAGAGCTGTAGATACTGCATTTAAAGTTGCACATAGTCAATGAGCAGCAAGGTGAAAAGCATTTAAAGGATCGTTTGAGACACAATAAAAGAAGCTCAACAGTGTGTTTGCATGTTGCGGAGTGCAAATATCCAACGAAAACCCTCCAATTTTCTACGCCTCACAGAAAGTAGTTTTCAGATTTGTGCAAAACGGGGAACGCATGTTTGGATCAACGTTTTCAACGGAAACCGTACATTGAAATGACGCAAAGTCGCAAACTCGTGTTACTGGCAGATAAATGCTTAAACAAATATTTGGGTAAGCGTTTTTGCAAATAAGCTTTTGGGTAAAAACAAAGCCTAACACTAAAGCCAATTTTTTGAGTTTTTGCCGTCACAAACATGAAGAGAGAAAAGATGGTAATAAAAAAGATAAAATTACTTCTAACAAACCCAATAATTTGATATTACATATTCTTAATATAAGAGTTAAATAACTAATTTAAAGATATTAATAAAATTAATTAAATTAGTTATTTATAATAAATTGATATCGTCTTGTCTAAAATATTCTTGTTAATCATGTACATTAAAACTATTCATCAATAAAAACTCCTTAATATATATAATCACTAAAGGGATTACTTGGGAACAAAATAAATAAATATTTTATAATTTCATAAATAAACTATTTTTATTTTATCATAATAATTTTAGGTATTTTTTTAATAATTATCACACTAAAAACATAAAATATCAAACATTACTATTTAATAAAGTTCATATATTTTTCAGTCATTTTACAACTAAACTTACTTTTCTATTAATCATCCAAAATAACTTTTAACCTTTCTAACTGATTTTTTATAAGCACTTATCCAAACATAAATTGTATTAAACTATCTAAATTTTACTCTAATTTTAGTTATAAAGTCAGTTAGTATAGAAGTCAGTTTTGTCCACAGCCAATCCAAACACATCTGGAGGCTGAACAGAAACATGGAGAAAAAAACGTGATTTATAAGCATCCGCAGTTTGGCAGCCATTATTAGCCAGTCCTAGTATTTATTTTATCATAATAATTTTAGGTATTTTTTTAATAATTATCACACTAAAAACATAAAATATCAAATATTACTATTCACTGGCACTGCTAGTATTTTTCTTGGAAGAATGATGGAAAAAGAAACTAGAAATTACAAATCTCAAATCAGGTTTGGTTTGGGAAAGAAAATGGGACAATGACAAAAAAAGAAACTAGAATTTTATAAATGTTAAATAAAAAAATATCAACAAAAATTTGTTGTCATTTGTAAATTCAGATTTGTCAGTACCAAATAAAATTATGTTACCAAACCTGATTTGGGATTTGTAATTTCTAGTTTGTTTTTCCATCATTCTTCCTAGGAAAATACTAGCAGTGCCAGTGATAATAATACTTCTTCTGTTCTTATTATAAAATTTTAAATAACTAATATATAAATAAAAAATAAATAGTTAAAATTAATTAAAAATGATAAATAGTTAGAAATAGGTTTTTATTTCTAAATATATCCTTATAATAATTAAGAAAAAATAAAAGAAAATATATAGAGAAATATAATAAGAGAAAATAATTAAAAATAATAGTAAAAAATATATTAAATATTAAGATAAAATTGCTTATAAAATATATCACATTTTTTAAAATTTAAAATTTATTAATAAAACTAAAAGAGTAAAAATTAATGTGGGCTGAAAATTGAGTTACGCAAACACCGATTCATTTTCGGACGTCACTTGCCGCATAAATGTATGCTCTCGTTCTTATCCGTTGGATCATTGTTCGATGATCACGATCCTTAATGCAGTGCAACAACGGGGGCCCACGGGAGCAGGTGCTAATGCACGCACGCAATTACTACTTCCTTCCAAGTGGCACCACACCACGAAATGGAAAGATCTAAAATGAAGAACCAATCTTCAGAAACCGCAGCAGCAAAACCCAATCGAAACCGTTCTGGCTCTGAGTCACCGCGCTCTGCAACATCACGCGCCAACTTGCGGGAAAATGGGACTGTAAGCCAGATAAAGAAAGTATCGAAGAAAATTAATTATTGTTATTACTATTACATTGCTGGGGTCCGTCTTGAATTTTATGCGCGGGTTGGCCGCGGCTTGCGGCAATCTATATAAGGAGGGGTTCCAGAGCTCAGATACCCACGCTGGCTGTCATTAGTTGTATCTCGGAGGCGGAGGAAGGGGAGGTGAGTGCGCCGCTTCTGTCGTCACCAGCACAAGAGCGAACTTCCATGACCGTGCCTGACTTTGAGGGTAATCCGCAGAAGCTGCGCGATGATGGAGCCGCTGATGTTGAAGTGCCCGATACCGCTCACCAGATTAGCAGAGGTTCGACCTTCCTTCTTCAATCACTCACTTCAATTTTTTTTTTTTTTTCGTGGCAAAATTAGTTAGTTTCGGAGTAAAATATGTGAATGAATTGTGATTGCAACTGGAGCTCAATGAGTTGGAAAAATGAGATTTATTGTTCATTGCATTGCTAAGAAGTACTAGTTACTAGTGTTTAACAAGTTCTTTCACTTAATAGTTTGACTCTGGGGTCGCTCTCTTGATTGTGTTCTTGAATCGAAAGGCATATTTTGTAATATAATTCCCACTTGTATATGCTCTGTACCCCTTTTTTAACTGGTTTTGTATTTTTCTGGGTTATTTATTTATTTTTTATTTTCTGGCTTTTAGATTCATGGTTTCAAGTGGGCTTTGTTCTCACCACCGGAATCAACAGCGCATATGTACTTGGATACTCTGGTACCATCATGGTTCCCCTCGGTTGGATATATGGTGTGGTTGGTTTGATTGCTGCTGCTGCGATATCACTGTATGCAAATTCCCTTATTGCCAAGCTCCATGAGTTTGGAGGAAGGAGGCATATAAGATACAGGGATCTTGCTGGATATATCTACGGTAAGTTTTTCTTTTATGTTGTTTTTTGGGACAAAATATCTACGCCTATGGTAAGTTGAAATGTGGTAATAGAAGTGAAAAACAAGTAGACTCCTCCTCGTGTTCGTCTCAGCGTCGTAATTTGTTGTTCGCATTCTCGTTGCAGGTGGAAAGGCATATTCTCTTACATGGGCGCTGCAGTATATCAATCTTTTCATGATAAATACTGGCTACATCATTTTGGCTGGTTCAGCACTAAAGGTGATGCAATTTTGGGAAGCAAGTCCATCTTTCCTATCCATTCTCATTAATTAATTTTTGGACACTTTGATGACTTCTCTGGGAGAGATGTCTCAATCTTTGCAGAAGAACTTCATAGTTTCCTTCGAGTATTGGATAACTAATCTCATTTTCCTGTTTACGAACCAACTACAGTTTATCGGCCTTTCTTTTCATTTACATATTGATCCCAAGCAAATCTGTAGGCATTTGTTCTTTTTATTAATTTCAATTTATGGGACTTTAATAATCTCAAGTCTTTGAACAAGTTGTAAAATCTTCTGTGCATAATCCAATATTTGTGGAATCATTCTGATGTTCTATGAGCTAAAAACTATGATCGACATACCTATTCTTTGTCGTTTTTTATTTTGTTAAGGCCCCCTTTTAATAAGCTTGTGTGATTTTGTGTTGAGCATTCGTGCTGAAACAATTTTTCCCCCCTCAAATCTTTTCTGTGCATTGTGGTGCAGGCCGTCTATGTTCTGTTTAGGGATGATCATCAAATGAAGCTTCCATATTTTATTGCCATAGCTGGATTCGTGTGTGCAATGTTTGCTGTATGCATCCCCCATCTTTCAGCTCTGAGAATTTGGCTGGGATTTTCAACAGTCTTCAGCCTAATATATATTGTAACAGCTTTTGCGTTGTCGCTTAAAGACGGTAACCACTCATGTCTCTGCCTAAAGAACTTTCCATGTAAAAGTCTGTTATTCTCTGCATTTCCTGAGGAAATAAAATGTCCTTTCCTGACTGCTTCAGGCTTCTTCGGTGAGAGTGACTATAGCTATCAATGCATTATCTGAAATTGACGCTTATATTCATTCAAGTATTGATTTTTTCGTTTGGATATGAGTTCATCAATATCCATGGCTAAGCGTTCTGTAAATATGCCATATGCTTGTAGAAAATTTTGAATGCTTGGTCCTCGCCTAAAATTCCTGGCGGTACTACGTTGAACATTTCTTTTATTCCCCTTCTCGACTTAAGGCTCCTCGGACAACCTTTTAAAGCTTGCAGATAAATTCATTTCAAATTTACTTCATTGTGATTATTTTTCTCCCTTGTCATTTGCATATGTGGCGATCTTTCCCCTTATTTTCTTTCTCAGAAATACCTTTCCTGACACCGGTACACGATATTGCAACGGATGTCTTATATTTTTGCTAAATGTGAAGCATAGAGCAGCATCCGAGGCCTAGCAAACGAATGTCAAATTCTCCTTTTATCTGTTTCATTTAAAATTTATAAATAGTCCTATTCTTCGATAATTTGGGATCATATTACACCCCGTAGGATGGCTATGAAGGAGCTTTATCCCTTGTGTTGTGAATTTGAACTAATCGCCAATGCATCATCAGGCTTGAAATCACCAGCTCGAGATTACAGCATCCCCGGTTCAACAACAAGTAAAATATTTACAACAATTGGAGCGTCTGCTAGTCTTGTGTTTGCATATAATACAGGGATGCTTCCCGAGATACAGGTAAAATAGGAGCCCATGATCCATTTCAAAGCCTAATGCAGATATATCAATCTCTGTTGTTTGTGTACTCTGAAAATTAACACTTAAATGGGTGTGACACAAACAGGCAACTATCAGGCAGCCGGTAGTCAAAAACATGATGAAAGCTCTATATTTCCAGTTTACAGTTGGAGGTCTACCTCTTTATTTGGTAACATTTACAGGGTATTGGGCTTATGGATCTTCCACATCATCCTATTTGCTGAGTAATGTGCATGGTCCAGTCTGGTTGAAAGCCACTGCCAACATTGCTGCCTTTTTGCAGTCAGTCATCGCATTGCATGTACTCACATCTAAACTAGAATGCTTGTTGATTTTAAACATTTCCTTGAACAATTTCACTGAACTCAGTCGTTCTTCTGCTTCTTTCAGATATTTGCAAGTCCAATGTATGAGTTTTTGGATACTAAATACGGGATCACAGGAAGTCCGTTGGCTCTGAAGAACTTGTCATTTCGAGTTTTGGTAAGGGGTGGCTACTTGGCCTTCAATACATTTGTGTCTGCTCTCCTTCCTTTCCTTGGAGATTTCATGAGCCTCACAGGAGCTATCAGCACATTTCCGCTGACATTTATACTGGCGAATCATATGTATTTAGTGGCAAAGAAGAACAAACTAACGTCCTTACAAAAGCTCTGGCACTGGCTTAATGTTTGTTTCTTTGGCATCATGTCTGTTGCTGCCGCAATTGCAGCACTACGGCTCATCGCTGTTGATTCCAAAACGTACAGCCTTTTTGCTGATTTATGATTAAATCCAATTTATTCTCTAAGCAAATGCAAATGTAGTGGCCGCGCTTTGTGCTTTAAATAGGCCTTTATTAAGGAATAAAACGGGTATTACCTATCAAAAGATCGTATGATTGTTGTGTTCCTCTAGGATCGAAGAGGTTATTGTCTGAAAACAGTAAACATAACTTCACTTAAAAGTTACTATAAAAAAGTGAAGATAAATCCAATGCATTTTCAACGTGTATACTTTCTTATAGGCCACCGGTGAGTTTTACCTTAGCATCATCAGTGATGGACAGCTTCATAGCTAACACATACAAGAGCCAGATGAAGTCGCAATGCTCTTATTACATGAATGTTAATGTTGCTATGGCTGGGCGAAATGGTTTTATGCACATAATTCATAAAGAACAATCGGATCGCGGGCCCAAGAAGGACAAATACGTCGATGGGTATTTTCTACAGAAAAAAATTGTCAAACTTTACTACCCAAGAAATAGTTGCTAAAATAATCCGTATAGGAATCATTGGCCTGCAATCATTCATCCAGAAAACGAAATAGTGTAAAATGTAATGCACTTTCATTTCCCTCGTAGCTTCTTTTTCTTTGTACCGCGCAAGAAAAAGGCAGGAAGGAAGCAGAGGGGCTTTAGATGGATGCCAGGCTTTGCCGACTGTTCTAGCTGTTGGATACTACCTTCATCCACCGACCTGCCAATTTTCAAATTCTAAAAGTTGAGAAGGAACCTGAAATATTCTAGAAATTATTTCATCAAGGTGTTCTCTCACAAGAGCAGGTCAGAGTTGACATCTTACCATCCTAGTTATCATCCAGAAACCAACTTTACAATTATGAAGATTGAGTTGAGAAGTATTAGAGGAACCCTCAAGTACTGTGTTGCATAAATGAGACCTATAAACTGGCCTTTAAATGATTTTGTCTTGCCGCCTGAAAAATCTGAGAAGCTCCATCCTCTGGGAGCAAGGAAGCGATCCTCATTTAGGATTGCTAGCGCATTTGCAAGAAGTAATAGCCCCTCAAGCAATGTCCACAGACCCATATCCCTGCATTATCAAGAAATCTAATCTGACGTAAAAAATCAATTCATTATACAAGTAATTCGCACTTTCTCTATCATTTGTAAAGATAATTCAATTGATAACAGAAGTAGAAGGGGGGAAAAAGACAAGGACACATCATATAAAGTTATCTGCAAGACAGCCAGCTACAATCATCCTTAAACCTTCGATTGTCTCAATCTCAAACTGTATCTCAAGGGTTTTAACTCTTGATGCCTTATGCCTTGGGAGGCCTTGCTTTAGTTCATAAAATCAAACACCATTTCCTAAATCTGAGCTGTGCTTCTAATTCCAATGCTACGAATATATCACATCACCGTTCTAACACCGGTCTGCAACAGCATTTTAAAGAACCTTGCTGATTGTGGGACATCATAAGAATTGGAAACAAGACATTGTCACGGCATTATAAATGTCGAACAGAACCAAACCATGGCTTTTCAAGCACCAGTTAATCAATATGTTCGCCTGTCATTGTAATGTAGTATGGCAGGCAGCTGTAAAACTAAGAAGGATAAGGGTCAACCCAAGGTTGGTAAAATCATATATTTTATCCACCATCAGTTGGAGCACCATAACAATAGAGCAGAAAGCATGATTTTTGAAAGTTCACATGGATAAACTTTCGAGAATATGTACACACTAATGCACGATCTAATTAAGTTTGAAGTACTAAAACTATCGACAAACAGACATCCACCCCTATGCCCGCCCTTAATGGGCGTCTATAATCTAAGTTGCTTGTGAGAACACACAATGAAGCCAATCGAAGATTCAGGTGCTAAAATTTTGGATATTGATGCAGCCAAACCTTACTACAACAGAATACGATCAAAAAAGGATTTCCAATAGAATAATGAAGGTATTAATGCCAAACTTTGAAATACAGCAATGAATCGAAAGAAAACTTTAGTATATATAAGTAGGATTCCCAGATCTAACCAAAAAAATCAATACCCAACAATGCAGACGTCGAACAAGAAGTCTACTTTAGAGCAGGAACAAATGGGAAAGCGAAAAGAAAAAAACTTACGAAGAGAAAGCTAAAATGTGGAAACCCAAATATAAACCGTAATAGAAAGGTAGATCAGGTCAGAAGATTGAGAGGGCAGATAACGGGAGAGATAAGCTGATAAAGAAAATGGTGCTGATGCGCTTCACTTCTGTTGGACCAAACGGCGGGAAGGACAGAGGAAATAAGAAAAACAGAGAAACGACAGAGCGGAGCGAAGAGCACAGTCTGATTCATTTCCTCACCGTTTCCTATTTTTGGCAGCCTGAACGGGGCAAACATTTTCTTTGTCGTTAATTTTGTTATCGCGCCATTTCAAATTTTCACACAATCGATCATCTGTGAAATAAATTATAAACAGTATTTTAATTGTGATTTACTAAATATAACATGTAAAAAAATTTTATTTTGATTTACGTAAAATATATTCATAAATACTTATATAAATGTCTCCAAATAAGCACATCATTGCATGAACCACGTCTGGGAGGATGTGCGGGATGAGTATGAGAGGAATACTAATTTAATCTCTTTTTGGTAGAAGACCACTGTCTTTAAAAAAATAATTATAAAAAAAATCTCACAACCAAGCAAGCAGCTTTTGATATTAAAAAAAAAAAGGTTTATGATACTTATTTGTTACTCCTCCGGTCCTTAATATAAGACCCATTTAACTAATTTGATTAAATTAAAGAAGTTAGGTAAGTTAGTTAATTATAAGAAAAGTGATACATTTTTCTTAAAATACCATAATCATCTTTCTTAATACCCTCTCTCTCTCTTCTACTTGATTATGGTTGAGGGAGTATCCATAAGGGTAATTTAGAGAAAAATGATAAATATGAGAAATGAGTCTTATATTTAGGACCAAAACCAACTCAAGAATTGGTCCTATATTAAGAACCGGAGGAGTATAAGATTTTTAATATTACATTGCTTTTTTTTTTTTGCCTGAATAATTACACTGCCTTACTTTTTATGTACCTTTCTTTTTTGAAATCGCGTAAGCCAAATGTGCCATTAAGAACATGGTAAAGCATCAAAGAGGGGAAATTGTCACCAATTTATATATTGATACGTGAATGAAATAAAAATCTTAAAGCACGAGTCATTCATCAAACTTCATTTGATCCGTTTAAACACGTTAGCTTTTGGGGGAGGGGGGAAGATAATAAAAAGGCCTAATTAAAGTTAATCCAAATTGCATTACCAAGCTGGATTAATGGGCCCTAAAAACAGCGAAGTGGACCGAAGCCCAAATAGACGAGAGCCCAGTTATGAAAACAACCTGTGCTTTAAACTCTCCGTTTGATAAAAACCCTCGATCCCCAGCTCTCCGCCGATCTCCGCTTCTACATCAACTGGGGAGCGTAGCCAACCAGCCGAAGATGGTGAAGGGACGCCAAGGAGAGCGAGTTAGGTCTGTGATCTAATTACTAATCTCCTTTTACCTGAGTCTTAAACCATAGCTGCTGCAGCTCAGTTCTACGGGTTGCTCATGAAGATTCATTTTTGAGTGAATTTGGCTTTGAGCTGCGGCCGTTAGCTCTCCACTTGGTTTTACCTTACGTTGATTATAGCAGTACGTTGCGTGTGCAGTTCTCGGTTCTGTTTTTCCGTCACGTGGAGACATCATTACAGATGATTCACAGATATTTCTTTGAACGTTAATGAATTTTATTTTTTTCTTATATTTAATATAAAGTATATTTATTATCTTATTTTACAAACTATCATCTTTCTATCACACACATTTTTTTTTCTTTTATAGTTTTTTTTTATTATGATTTTTTTATTCTCTTTTATATTTATTGTTTTTAATCAATTTTGACACTATTTTTATCTGCGTGATGAGGTTCAATATTACTTATAAAGGGACGGAGACAGTAATATATTTGAGATTTTTTTAAGAAATATCCACATTAATTGTTTAGCACGATTAGCGATGTACTCCCTTTGGTATGTATAAATAAGACGTTGGTTGGAGAAATTGTGGTCTGAGATATAAAATGCTCTCATAATAATTAATGTGATTTTTCACTTTCACCCCCGTTAAATATATAAGAGAGATGAAGATAATAAAAGTATAAAATTAAAGACAACTTTATCATTTTAAGGGGGAAAATAGAAAAACTCTATCATTTTAGAAAATATTAATGACTAAACTTTCTTTTTTTTAGTATGTGAAAAAAATTAACTATCTTCTTACATTATCAACCGGAAGGAGTAGTTAATAAATGAGGAATGTTGCTGGATACTTGTTTGCTTTTAACGATGAAAAGGAACATTTTTAATAAATGTACAAAACAATGAGCAATTTGTTTCTTTATTATATCTCGGTTAAAAAAAATGTCTCAACAGGTTTTTTTTTTTTTTTTTTAAGTGAATAAATATTTAGCTTTGAGCTGGTTCCAATAGAGCATTTGTCGAAAAGCTCCAGCTTCATCAAGGACGAGTTTCAAATTCCAACTTCATGTAGTTGCAGGGTCGTGATATTTTATTTCTGTGCATGAAATGTGAAACTTGCACTACATTAGATTCGTAATGTTTTCACCAACTAGGCATTAGTTGAGATACTAAACCTTTGTAATTAAAAAAGAGAACACAAATTCAAATACTGGCAAGTATACTTGTTGGGAGAATTTCAATCTTAACAATCCTGTCTGAAGGAGATTAGTCTCAAGTATAAAATGATCAGGAGAGACTCTGAGTTTATAAAGAAAAAAATTGTAATATATTTTGTTCGGACAATTAATTTCTTAGACATGACGGAGCAAGAGAATGATTCAGGTGCAGGCCCCGGAGCCTGCAGTGACAAATACATGTATAGTAGCCCGTTAAGTTAAACTACTCGGGCTCCAGACTCAAACAATTTTAATTTGGGCCTACCCTTAATTTATTTCAACTCCTCCTTATTGCTGGGCCCAATTCCATTACTAACATTCTAATCGTTACCCGGTGAACATATTCCAAACATGAGAATCTTTTGTCACTTGTACACATCAAACAATACATGGAACAGACAAAAACCAAACCCATATGACAAAACAAGGCAAAGTCCCACAAAATAAGAGGGGGACTCAACTCCGTAATGCTTCACATGTTAACACTATAAAATTGTTGGTACTTTTCTTTAGCGTCATGTTTTTGCCAGACAACAGAGAGCCCAAGTCCACGTACAGATCAGCAGAGGCAAAAGGAGTAGCCCAGATTCCCATCACCATGATAACAAAGAATTTGTTTAAATTGATGTTAGGCAAAACTGACTTCTAGCCTAACTGATTTTTGTAATTGAAGTTAGAGTAAACATCAGTTAATGTAATGCAATTTATGTTTGGATAGGTACTTTTAAAAAGTCAGTTGAAAAAGTTAAAAGTTATTTGGATGATTAATAGAAAAGTTAGTTTTATTGTAAAATAACTGAAAATGGTATAGACTTTATTGAATAGTAGTGTTTAAAATTTTATGTTTTTAATGTGATAATAGTTTAAAAAAATGCATAAAATTATTATGATAAAATATAAATATTTTATTTGTGTGAAATTATAAAATAAAAATATTTGTTACGGAGAAAAATTTGAAAACACATTGTAGGTAATTAATTAAATATAAATAATAGACAAACATGAATATAAATTAAAATTTATTTGGTCTCAAATTAAAATAAATGAAATCACATAACTAATTAGATCGTAAATTTTGCATAATTTTCTTATAAGTCAATTAGAAAAGTTGATCCAGATTGCGTTTTCATAAGTCAGCAAGAAAAGTTACTTTTTTCCATAAGTTAATTACAAAGAAAACCCATCCAAACAACCAATTTTACTGAAATAAGCTACAAATCTCAGTTTCACACTTCCCCATGTGCTTTTATCTTCTCCAATGACAATCCAAACGAGACCAAAATCTTCATCATTCGCTTAATTCTTGATTCAACCAATTCACTATTTTAGATCCTAAAATTACTGAATGTTTGGCACGAGGAAATTGGAGTGGAGGGAAAGAAGAATTTTAACCTCACTTTTTTAATTTTTTAAATTGAACTTATTAAAATCTCCATCCCCGGGGATGCTTAAATTCTTAACTCAAAAACCTCCAAGACTTAAATCATACTACCTCCGGTCCTAATTATAAGAGCCAGTTAACTAATTTGAGGAGATTAAGGAAGTAAGTTGAGTTAGTTATTTGTCCTAAATAGGTGTTATCTTTCTTAAAATCCTTGCTAATCAAGTGTATTGATTAGAACTATCATTGTTAGAAGGGCTACTTTGAAAAAAATGTATAAATATGAGAAATAAAGTGGATTGAGGTCTTATATTTATGATCAAAATAAAAGTCAAACAGAATCTTATATTAAAGACAGGAGGTAGTACATTAGTAACATAATAATCAATGTAAACACATCCTTAACAAGCCAATATCTCGTGAAAAGCATTTATTCCATAGGTGAATAATCGGGTCAAAGGTAGCAAATCGTGAATTATGAATTTGAATATTTGACGACATGATGCAAGATGATTGCAATTGGATGAAAAGTGCCGTCTAAGAAACTGCTGGAAAAGATTGCTTCCCAGCTATACACTGCAATAATTCTCGCGCCACCTATATGAGAAATAAAATATCATATATATTTAAAAATAAAAAATAAAGGTCAACGAAGTCGTTTCTCCCAGAAAGTTGGCACTTATCATCACATCATGCTGCGCGCGTAGTTTGAAGAAAGTTAGACAAACAAGCGTGCGTATCTACCTCAACGAAGTCGTTTCTCCTAGAAAGTTGGCACTCATCATCACATCATGCTGCGCGCGTAGTTTCAGGAAAGTTAGATAACCAAGCGTGCCGTTTTTCTATCTACCTCCAATCTCCAAACACCATGCGTGAGAGAGAGAGAGGGAGAGAGAATAACATGTGATTTGAATTGATAATTTGTGGGTTTTGTGTTCACACGGTAATATATTCAGTTTTGTGGATAATTAAGTCATTTGTTATATCTAATTCTTAATATAAATCACTTGTAATGTATTCTCACATGTTAAGAAACACGTTAAATTAACAAAAATTTTCAATTTTAGCATAAGTCATTTATAGAGCTGAT